TAACATGAGTTCATTGTATATGGTCAAGTAATCTAATTGACGTATGGTAAGTAATGTATTTGCTATTGTAAAATCTTGGCATCAACTCTGGAGGAAATAAAGAAATTCATTCAGTCATTTATTCGTTGTCATATGGACACTCAGAATACCAAGCAAACATTTAAGAGGTTAGGGTCTTGACTACACACTTTTCATCATCTTGCTAATCTATATATGAGAGATATCCAGGTCCAGTTAAATAAGGTACAGTGGGGGCCCACGATGACCAGCACTAACGTCGACACAGATGAGAAAGATAATGATATCTCTCACACCTGACCTTTATGTATAATCTTTAGCGACAGCAATTTAGGCTGGAACCCAGCTTAACCGTGATTACCATCCCCAGGTGAGATAGCTCTCCTTTCACATTTAGCTGGTGTGTTATCACACTATGTAAATGAATTAATGATGTAAATATATTGTGAGGATAATTTTAAATATGCAAGCGTGTGCGGCCACATTCAGCTGATGTACACAATTTGTAGCCAGCTACAACCCATGTCTCTCCTCAAGCCACAACATCACTTGACTATGGAAAGGTTTTTGTCGCCTTTATTATTTTTGCCAGTGTCTGTGATAAACTAAAGGATTGATGAAAAATGTTATTGATTTAATCTGTACGAAAATATGATTTATAGCTCTACCATGGTCCTCAACAAGTCATTCATAGAGAAGTGTCAAATATTTTGTTTTCTTTTGTAGTTACATTTCTCCATTACATTGTTCTGATAGGATGTGTGATTAAATTTACCGAATAGGTCTTCAACAACCCATGCTTGCCGTAAGAGGTGACGATGCTTGTCGTAAGAGGTGACTAACGGGATCGGGTGGTCAGGCTCGCTGATTTGGTTGATGCATGTCATTGTATGCCAATTGCGTCGATCGATGCTCATGGTGTCAATCACTGGAGTGTCTGGTCCAGACTACGATTATGTCACAACAGACATATGTGTACATATCTCCTTGTCAAATTTAGAGGAATAATCCTCTTTGGGGGAGTGTTCACACAAGCTCTAAGGGTAAGATCATTGAAGAGTTCATTTCCAACAACGATTTGTGTATCTACAATGATGGTTCTAACACTAATCTACATCCTGGTACAGGAACATACTCCTCTTTAGATCTATCACTAACAGACCCAGACTTACTTAATGAATTGAATGGTCGGTCCATGATGACCTTTGTGGAAGTGATCATTTTCCGACTACATTAAAACCTATTACCCCCTGTGATATCCCTCCTTCCACAAGATGGAACTTTACTAAGGCCAACTGGCACTTATTTGAAATACTTGCGACTGAAAATATTCCTGATCCTATGCAATCTTTTTCGGAGGAACTTCACAAAATTGCTGATGAATGTATTCCAAAGACCTCTGCAAATTCACACATCCAAAAGCCGTAGTTTAACGATAACTGCAAACAAGCTAGAAAGGCAAGGAAAAAAGCAGAACGATATATCCGTCGCAATCCTATGGTGCATAATTTGAATAAATTAAAGATTTTAAATGCTAAAGCAAGGCGCACGTTTAAACAAAATAAACGCCTATCGTGGCAAAACTATGTCTCAAAATTAAATGCACGAACTCCAATGTCCAAGGTTTGGAACATGATTCAGAAAATAAAAGGAAAAGGCTCCAAATCCAGCATCCACCATCTTACAAATGGGGATGAACTGTTAACAGATACTAAAGATATTTTAAATAAACATGGTAAAAAACACTCCCTGCACATTTTACTCATCGAACTATGTCCCAATATTTCAAAAACAGCAAGAAAAGAAAACTCTTAATTTTCAGATAATGGAGAAGATTACAATGAATATTTTTCCATACATGAACTGCAAACTGCCCTTGGGCCAGCTCATGATACTGCTTCAGGTGGTGATAACATCCACCATCACCTCCTGAAACACCTGCCAGAACCATGTTTGGAAACCCTCCTTCTGATCTTTGATGAGATAAGGACATCCGGCAAATTCTTCGTGGCGTGATGCCATAGCTGTTCCAATACCGAACCCTGGATGAGATCATACTGATCCCTCAAATTATCGACCTATTTCCTTGACCAGTTGCGTTTGCAAAACCGTGGAGCGCATGATCAATAATGATTTATATGGTACGTAGAAACCAATAATTTAATAACAAATATAAGATGTGTTTTCCGTGAAAACAGGAGTACCATTGATCATCTAGTTCGTTTAGAATTATTTGTAAAAAATGCCTTCATTAACAAACAATATGATGTGTATACGACATAACGTGGAAATACGGTATTTAAACAGATTTACATGATTTCGGATTGTGAGGCTGTTTGCCTCAATTTGTATCCCGTTTTTAATCAGACAGACAATTTCAAGTTCGTGTGCGATCTACCCTGTCTGACCATTATACTCAGGATCAGAGTGTCCAACAAGGCAGTATTTTGTCTGTCACGCTGTTTAGTTAAAAATAAATATCCTGTCTAAGGTTTTAAACGATTCCATTGATTGATCTCTATTCATGGATGATTGTTGTGGTATCAGCAAGAATATAATCAATTAAGAAGATCATACAATACTTACAAGTCCCTCTTAACCGATGGTCCCAAGGATGGTGACGCAGTTGCTTGCCCTACAGTCATTGGATCCAGAACCATATCATCCAGATTACCGAATGAAAGTTCAATTTTTACAGCAGAATCACAGGCAATATTAACAATTCTCAAATATATCAAGCCATGAAGAATATTTCATATGAACATCCACTTTTACACGAAATTATTGAATTACATAACAAACTTGCTACTGTCCAATATGAGATCATCTTTTCTTGGTTACCAAGCCATATTGATATAATTGGTAACACAATGGACGATGCTGCTGCAAAAGCAGCACTCAACAAATCTGTGACAGTACTTCTTATCCCATGGCCATACACTGAATATAAACCTGTAATCAGATCTTCGTCCGTGATACTATGCAAAAGAGGTTCGACACCCAAGTAGGTATCAATAAATTACATGAAATTAAACCAAATATCGGTTCCACCTACTTGGGCTGTCAGTCCTGACTTGAAGAGGTCATTATGCGACGATGTCGTATTGGTCATTCGAGATATACACTTGAGTGTTTGTTAAAAGGTGAGGATCCTCCGTTTTGTATCCCTTGTGATGAAAGAATCACGGTCAAGCATGTGCTGCTTGGCTGTAATGATTTTTCCATCACAAGGGATAAATATTTCAGGGTAAAAACAGTCAAGGATCTTTTAGTAAAGTTAATTCTCATCTAATTCTATGTTTTGATGAATTTACTGTATTGTTTTAAAAATTAGCAGTGCTAATTACTAACTTAGATTGTTAGTGGCGGTACTCTCGAGGGATGTTGGTGGGGTGAAGCAGCGTAAAATAATTGTCCCCTTAAGAGGGTATGTAAGTTCCACATCATTCGAAGTATTTTTATGCATGCCAGGTTTTTAAACGTAGTACATTCGTCATTTCAACCAGAGGCTTAACTCTTAAACTATCGCCAGCGACTGTAGAGTGATATAAATCCTGCCGGGGTCCATGCAGGAAGCAAAGGTACCATGGTCCTAGTATTGTGATCACCCTTCAGTGATTGACGATCTCTAGCCCATTTTATATTGTGTTGTTAACTAATACTTTTTGCTTTTAAATATTATCAACTCGTTTTAAATCGCATCTGTCATAATCTAGTTATTGTACTGTCCATCGTTGACAGCTTTTTATTTTGTCTAAGCATATGTAATATTAATGTACTTCTCGTCACGATATGGCTGAAATACTGCCGTTAAATCTTAACTCACTCAGTCACTCAAGAATGAGTTGCTGAAGACCGTGAATCTCACCGTGATCGTCACATATGCTTGATATGTGACCTCGTAACACCCATGATGTGTTTGCCTGAGGGGGAGAGTGAGTGAGTTCAGATTTAACGTCACATCGGCAATATTTCTGCCATATCGTGACGAGAAGTTATTATATATTATCAACTGATCAAAACCTGCCATCAATGGACAGTAAAATAACTATAATATCACAGATAAATCGTTAAAACTAGCATGTAATCATAAAAAGATATCACTAAATGTCACGATATAATATAAAAATGAACTATAGATCACCAGCAACCAAAGTTAGGCCACCATACTTGGGACCATGGGGACTTACGGTATTTCTGCTACCTACATGGTTCCCCGGCAGGATTTACACCATCCCCCTCAGGGGAGAGAGAGGTGGTACATGTGTGCCACTTCCTTGCGTCGAGATCGACAGGCGCACACCCCAAATGACATATTGTATAACGCACTTGATATAATGTACCATGTACGCGATATACTGTATAGTGAATGTAATACATGAGTATATGAATAAACAAACGACCCACACAAGTTTAGAAATGACAAAGTGCTGTAGCATATTATGCAGTAGTTCACGTCACTGAGTGGTAGTCTCTATAATCAAAATATGTCACTTGAAGGGTCCTAAAATATTTGATAAGTGAGACACTGAATCCCTTGCTTTGATGTGTTATTGGGGCGGTCGGGTAGCCTAGTGGTTAAAGCGTTCGCTCGTCACGCCGAAGACCAGGGTTCGATTCCCAACATGGGTACAATGTGTGAAGCCCATTTCTGCCGTGATATTGCTGGAATATTGCTGAAACGGCGTAAAACCATACTCACTCACTTGATGTGTTATTTTATTTATTTGTTGATATCATAATATGTATCGTGAAAATGTGCCCGCTACAGTCATTCCACCATTTCAATTACAATCTAAGGAACCATGTGCGCGCCGCATCACGCATGAAATTATTGTCATAGACCAGAATGCATGTGTTCGCCCACACAGGGGCAAACCATCCCTCCCATTTGTGTTGTACTTCAGTGATCACTTGTTCCTCATCATTGTAATACCGTATGAAATACATCTTTTGAGGAGACATGGCAAAGAGATATGTACCATCACTATTCCATTTCATGTTATCAGGTTTCTCCAGTCCTTGTACAGCCTTCATCTCATCCATTGTCACTTCACCTCCAACATCTTGAATGAGGAACTTATATGTTACTGAACTGCTGGTAGAACGGACAAATATAGCCATTCCGACGTCCCCAATGCAGGCAAAAATACATGTAGAAATCGAGCGAATATTTCTGTAAAAAAACGAAATATATTTATATATCTAATTAGTCATTTCCAAACTTTGTAAGATTTTTTGTTATATGTATCTCATTAATTATTAATTAGTTATTCTAAAAATGTGTTTCAATCTTAATTTGTATCTTATATAGTCGGGGCGGTCGGGTAGCCTAGTGGTTAAAGCGTTCGCTCGTCACGCCGAAGACCCGGGTTCGATTCCCGACATGGGTACAATGTGTGAAGCCCATTTCTGGTGTCCCCCGCCGTGATATTGCTGAAATATTGCTAAAAGCGGCGTAAAACCATACTCACTCACTCACTCACACACTCTTATATAGTCTGCACATACTACGATTTACAAAATAGCTATAAATTATAGTTAAGCTCCAAAAAATTACTTTGAAGGGTACAATTTTGCCCATTTTTGCTTGCCACAAGCCATATTGCCCAACTTCATCATATTCAATTTTAAACCAAAATTAGTTTTTGTCAGACATTTTTGCATATATCCATAAAGATGATCTTAGATTAAGTATAACAAATTTTTTAAACCACCTAGCGGGTATCTAGACAAGTCGCATGCTCGGAGAGCTCCGCAAATCTGTGAAATTAGAAGCTTATTTGTGACTCTCAAGTGGTGGAAAGTTTTTCATGAAGCCTCCAAACGAAAGAAGTAAGCAATGACGTGTGATTTGAACGTTGACAGGGCTAGGATAGGTTGTTTTGTGACAACTTATGTGTCGTTCATGTTGAAGCGAACCAGACGACGGCACGCCATGTTAACGCACGTGCGATACATGCTTGGAGGCGCGAGGACAGGATTGAAACTCTGTCCCTTTACTTCGTTACTTCTAATCTTAGTCAGCAGCGATGTAGAGAAAAACCCGGGCCCACCGAAAACTCCGTGTACACGTCAAAGCACACTGGACAACGTGAAAAAGGTAGACGAAAATATTGCAGATTTGATCAGAAATTTACAGTCAGATATGTGCAGAGAAATACAAGACTTACGAAAAGATATAAATAAAAACTTTAAGGACTTAACAGAAAAAATGACAGCCTTAGAAGAAGATGTATCTCGACTTTCAGAAGAAAATGTGGAACTTAGAAAGACTACGGAACAACTGAATGAGAAGATTGATTTCATGGAAAATAAAGTAAGGATGAATAATCTGATCTTTCACAATATTCTTGACGAACGTAACGAGGCCACGGGTACCACTGAAGAAAAAGTGCGTGAAGTAATCCATGATGTTCTTGGAATCGAGGAATCAGTTGATATATACAGTGCTCGACGCATGTCTACAAAGTCCCGCGGTAATCGCCCGGTACTGGTGTCATTCAAAGACTATCAAACCAAGGCACGTATTCTGAGATCAACTTCTAAACTGCGGAACCAGGATGTAAACATCTCACAGGATTTCACGGAGAGGATTCGACAAATCAGACGGAAGTTAAAACCATTCCAGGACAAAGCACGGGAAGATGGTAAATATGCAACCTTACATTTTGACAAAATTCAAATTGACAATAAACTGTATAAATTGAATCCAAATGAAAATGAACTCTATGCAGTGAAAACCTTACCATGGAAACCTCGTTCTAACTACACAAACACTGAGAGCTAGGGGTGTGGCCAAGGCTGTAAACAAAGCCCTGGTGCTATTGACATAGTTATTTGGAATGTTGAAGGATTGAAAAGAAAATGACTAATAATTGTATAATGGACTTTATTAACAGATTTCATATCATATCTCTTGTGGAGACATGGGCGAACTATGATGATGTCTTCAGCTTTCCTGGATATCAACAGTTTAGCCAATTGAGACAAAAACACCGAAGGGGCAATACGAAACTCGGGAGGTATACTCACTCTTGTTAAAGACTTAAATCAACATCCAGCAACACTCTGTGGATAAAGTATAACGGAGGACAAACGCTTTTATTTATCTGCACTGTGTATTTCTCTCCGGAGGGGTCTAGTCTACACTCCGAGGTGGATTTATTTGATATTTTGGAAAGCGATATTTTAAGCTTAAAATCAGACTTTCCAAACTGTGAGATAGTTATTCATGGAGATTTCAATGCTCGCACCGGTGATGGTACACGCCCAGATTTTATTGAAAACGATGATATTACCTACCTGCCCATCGATTATGAAATGGATTATATTCAAGACGATAACCTACCACGCAGATCTCAAGACAGTGTTGTCAATAAACGTGGACTCTCATTGTGAAACTTCTGTCATTCGACAGGACTCCGGATTTGTAATGGTCGATTTTGCTCAGATAGCAGTGTTGGTAAAATAACTTGTTTTGCCAATGAAGGCCAGAGTGTTGTCGATTATGTGTTGTGCAACCCAAACCTTTTTCAGCTTATTACAAAGTTTGATGTGTCAGATGAAGTTGAATGTACTCATTTACCTATAACCTACTCATTAGCTTTAAACAGTATGCCCGACTGTTACCGTGAAAATCTCACTGAGCGTCAGAGGTATGTTTGGTCTGATCGTTTTTACAGTGAATACGTAAATTCATGGAATAATCTCAAGGATTCTACTAAGAAGAATTTCAACAATCAAATCATTAACAATGATGTAGATAATGTTTTTAACTGTTTTCAGAACACTCTTGAAAATTGCTGTGTTAAATTTAGAAAACCGGAGCTAGAACTGGACAAAAACATTGTGACTGGTTCGATGAGGAATGTTTGCTGGCAAGATTGACAGCTCGTCAATTGCTGCGGGCATTTCATGCAAGCAACGAGGCATGCGACCGGCTGACCTACATTTCTGCACGTAAACACTACAAGGAACTCTGCTCGCGCAAGTCAGCTGTCTCGACACATGTGTTTGTAAACTAACTGGAACAATCACTCCAATCTAATAATGTGAAACTTTTTTGGTGGTTATTGAGACCAAAAACAAAATCACAATTAATAAACATTACACCACTTGTGTGGATTGAACATTTTAAAGAACTGTTTAGTGGAACAAACCATGATCCTAACTTACTTGATTTTTATGTTCATGTAAATGATTTCATTTCAGGTATAACTGACAATCTCATTGATGCAACTACTGATATTGATAATGAACCTGACTATGACATTACTATGTCTGATATACAGGATGCAATCTCCAGTATGCACTGTGGAAAAGCCCCGGGGTACAGTGGCTTCCCAATAGAATTTTTTAAGAATGCTCCCATGCAGTGTCTAGATATGCTGAAAGAACTGTATAATATGATTTTGTCAACTGGTGTTTATCCTACTCAGTGGACAGTTGGTGTCATTATTCCTATCCATAAAAAAGGGCCGTGTAATAATCCAGGAAACTTCAGACCAATCACTTTACTCAAAGTCTCAGGTAAAATCTTTTCTAAAATTCTGTGCACTAGACTTTCTAAATGGGCTGAAAATCAAAATTTTATTATTCCTGAACAGTCAGGGTTTAGAAAAGGTTTTCAAACGGTAGATAATGTTTTTGTAATTGATACTATCATACAGACATACTTATCATTATATAAAGGTAGACTTTATTGTGCTTTCATAGATTTGAAAGCAGCCTTCGACTCTGTTCATAGACCATCTTTATTTTATAAATTGTGGATTGGTAATGTAAAGGGGAAAATGTTTAGACTTTTGAATAATATGTATCAAAATGTGAAGTCATGTGTTTTGGTAAACAATAGATGTACTCCCTTCTTTGACTGTCCTTTTGGTGTACGACAAGGTTGCCAGTTGTCACCTTTCCTATTTTTATTTTTTGTAAATGATATAGTACAGTTTTTGAGTGTGGATAAGCAAAACTGTGTTAATATATACTTGCTGGATCTTTTCATACTCTTATTTGCAGATGACATTATCCTATTTGATAGCACTGTTCTCGGGTTACAAAAACGTTTAGATAAGTTGGTGGATTATTGCAATAAGTGGCAATTAAGAGTTAATTCTACCAAGAGTAAAATCATTATTTTTCGTAAGGCAGGTAGGCTTAAAAGCTATGAAAAGTTTTTTCTTAATGGCAGCCCTCTTGAGATAGTCCCCAGTTATAAATATCTTGGAGTACATTTTTCTAGCTCGGGTTCCTGGTATAAAACTCAAAAGATATTATCCCAACAAGCTTGGAAGGTAATATTATTGTTACAATCACATATGTACAATTTTCACAAACTTCCCCTGAAAATGTTACTTCGTATTTTTGATGTGAAAGTACTGCCCATAGTATTATATGGCTCAGAGATAAGTGGATTTCATCCCTCTAAAGATATTGTAAATGTTCATGATAAATTCTGCAAGCTTATTTTGAAACTGAGAAGAACTGTTCCTAATATTGTAGCAAGAGCTGAACTTGGGAGATACTCGTTAAAAGTAAACCAACATCTGAAAATTATTAAGTACTGGCTGCGTTTATTAACTCAGAACGAAAACAGTATATTATATCACACGTATGTGTACCAGTATGACCGGGCAGAAAAGGGTCTAGATTGCTGGGCACTGAAAGTTAAAAATCTGTTATTTTCCTTTGGATATGGTGAAATTTGGAATGGACAATCAGTTTCTTGTATCCATTCATTTATATCCGCTTTTAGAACAAGATGTATTGATATTGATAACCAGTGTCTCTTTGAATCTTTTGACAAATTATCTTCATTATATTTGTATAAAACAATTAAGCTATCAAATGAATATGAAAATTATTTAAGTGTTGTGAAAATTGCTGCATTTAGGATTATCCTCTCACAGTTTCGCACGTCGAGCAGTGATCTTATGGTATCACAGGGTAGAAAGTTAGGTATTCCAAAGTGTGAAAGACTTTGTCCATTTTGTATCATTCCAAGTGTATAAACAGAATACCATGTTTGTTTAGTTTGTCCGTTTTATGACGATCTTAGAAGAAACTTTCTGCCAAGTTATTATTATACATTTCCATCAGAGCATAAATGTAAGGTTTTATTT